GATGGTCACCGCAGGTACCCGCCTTTCCACCGACACGCAGCCGTCGGGCCGCTCGCCAGCGTGGACGTAAGAACGCCCCTTCATCCAAAGAGAACCCAACTGTATTCAGTCATCGAATACTGTAGGCCAAAGGTATTTGTACTCAATGATGGGTACATATTGCGATGACGGATGAAAGCGCATACGCGTGGGTGGAGGCAAAAGTACACTGGGCGGTGCTCGAGGATCAAACGGTATTCCTAGATTTTGAGACTTTTCGCCAATCAGAGCTTTCTCAGGCACGTTCTCCGTATCTGGTGAGAACATCTCCCAAGAAGGATTGGCGCGAAGAATCGGTGAAAAAGGCAAAGGCTCAAATTGTGGTCGCTCACGTTCTATGCCTCCGAGATATTTCATGGTAATCTCGCAATGTCCCCATACAGCCGACACGATTGGATACAATGTCTTCCCTTGAAGATTACGGAATGCAACACCCAGATAGTGCTGGTCGGTAGCGAATGCCATATAACCGTCATCCATGTCCAAAATACAGTAGAACTGAAATAAATCGAAAAATAAAAGGTCGAAAGAAGAAGGGACCTCGAAAAATTGTATCGAACAGACCTTATCAGGAATTGGAGTATAGTCGGGTCGCATTGGAACACCAGTTGGATACTGCCATGGACTGCAGTTCTTGGAATCATGGTGGCATTCACCTCGAGCTGAAAAGGGATTTCCTTTGAATCTCAAGGGTACGCTAGAATCGCTAGAATCTAGGCTAATAAGTATCCCTCAGTGGATCCTGAGATTCACGGCACGTCCTGTTGTTGGGGGAGAAAATATGCAACATATGACTCCTCTCAAAAATTCCATGGAAATTCAAATTCCTGGCGCCACCCCCTTCCCCTTTGTTTTATCAAAAAATACTCCAATTTAATTTATCCAAAGAAAGCAACGTCGAGGGTAGGGGAAGGGGGTGTATAGCACCAGTCAGTAAAACCAGAAAAACCAGGAAAAGTCAACAGGCGGAAGCATTCCTTTCGGAAAGTATTTTCTTTGCGTTATGCCAAAACTCAACACAAAGCAGCAAGGTGTAGACAGAAAGAAAAAGGAGACGGACAAGACAATCGTAATTCGTCGCATCGCCGCGCGCGACACGCAATGCGACGATGCGTGGCAAATTCTCGATAAGCGTTCTTTGCCGACTGGAGTAAAGGAAATCGTGACTTTAACGGGGAGACAAGACTGTAGACGGAAAATATTAGAGTTCTCCTTCGCTCCAGTACTTAAGTCTGAAATACCAGGTAGGACAAATCGCCTTTCGAACGCGGCGTCGCTCGCTCCCACCAGCGCGCATATTACGATTGTCTCGTATAATACCCGAAAAAAAATTCAATGGACGATTGGTGACTTACTCAGATCCCAACCATAGCTTTCCCGGTATCCTTCCTTCAATCGATGCTGATAACCATTGCATGAAGTGCGGCTGCTTTTGTTGCCACTCCTACTACTGCATGTGTTCCTCGTTGGCGTTGAGGCCATTCCAATTGCCACACGTGAAATCCGGTCGAGTAACCCATCTTAAACAGATGGTAAGTTCAGGGGATACATGAAAGACTGAAATTCAGAAAGCCTTATTATACTGCAAGAGAGAAGTGGATTTGTTCACTTGTACTGCAAGACAAATTCCGCGCTGATCGTATGGGTGGAAACTCAGACCACCCACAGTGTTCCTGTGGTTGCTGCGCTCCTTCACCTTACCACATTAAAGTGAAGTGGTCACCGATGAGGAGGGCGCAATGACTGTTAGTCTCCGCCCATCCGATTGCCGTGGAATGCGCATTTGAAAAAGCCGTCATTCATGTTTTAAAGTGGACTACTTTTAATCTTCTTATATCAATCGCCCTGCCGATGATATCATCAATGGACTGGGAAGATTACAGAGAATCCGTGGGAAAAGGATAGGTGACGACGCGTTTAACTCAAGTCCGTCAAAAAAAACATTGCTGAATCGCAAAAATGGGCGAAACAGCGACAATCGATCTTTTAGCGAATTCCTTGGTTCTCCATAAAGGTACACTCCATATTCCAGAGATAGAGAAGGTGGCACTATTCACTTCATTTTAACGTGGCGTAGGATGCGTTTTCCATGGGACATTCTCATTTGAGATAACTGTCATCCTGTCTTGTGCTAGACAAAGGCATGCTTGAAATCGAAGTGAAACGGTAATTGGAACGGTAATATTCCGCCGGAAGCGCAGACACTGCCACGTTCAACTGAGGGACGCAGACACGCCCCTGCTGTTATTGAGATAAGCAGTGTATTAGCACGACCTAACAGCGAAAATCCCCTACGTGTCTTTTGAATCACAATGATGAGCGCTCTTTTCACGTCATTCTCATGGATGACATGCATGCCAGAGAATTCCTGTTAGAGGACTATTTGTTCAGCTGCTTACAGACCAAATATGCATGACAGAAAAGGTGAATTTGTTTAGATATGCACTGATCATAAAATCAACATCAAATAGAACAAACAAAATTATTCCTCAACCCCAGATGAGGGCAAAAGGTCTTGATAAGCGTAATCGATTGTCTAACTAAGATCGAACTAGGAGAGACGGTACGAGGAAAGCAAGAGATGAAGTTCGTCCCATCTTCCGATTCTCCAGGCTCATGCTGACTCCCCAAGCTTACCAGCTTAGAAAAGCGCCTAGCAGAATTACCTCAAACTGCTGTCCGGCCCGTCCAGCTACTTTGATGGCAAAGCTTGGGTGGCTCGCAAGGGCAAGAGCAAAAAAACTAGGACTCAACCCTCACCTTTCCTCGTATACAATCTGTGCTTTGGGCTACAGGATGTCGATGAAATGTGAAGCAGTCATCATCTTTGACGAAAATATTTAGCGATCTGAAACAGGTGGATGATTCCAGGGATAAAGAGAGCTCTTTAGTGATGACCCATATCCTAGGTACTTACCGATCGTCAGGATTCCATGCGTGCATTTCTTGTGTAGGTCGATCGAGTAGCGGCGATTCGAGTCAATACTGCTAATGAGAAAATAGTCGAATTTAGCCGGGTTCGAAGCAGTATCATCACAAGGCACATGGCTGAAATCGCAGGAATCTTCAAGACGCTACCCGAAAAGCAGTTCCCTAGGGATCAACTACAGTCACTTGTTCTTTGTTTCACACACCCTAGAGGATAAAAAAAATAGTTTGACTTGCAGGGACCAGTCGATGTACAAGTCAGTGTTCTTATCCTGACAAAGGAATCTGATGGCAATTCACCGTCCCTGAATGCTGGAAGGTTTGTTTGGCCTGGAGCCGGGAGCCGAGCCGGACAGTTTATGCGCTATGCCAAGCGGCTGCCACTCGCCACCCCCCGCCTCCTACATTCAAATGATCCATTAGAATAAAAGAGCATAAAAAATAACAACATATAAAAGTACCGCGTGGTTCGCACTACTGTCAATGGGGAACCCAGCTGGTACGTCCTACTAGAAAAAGCCTCAACACAGGCATCTGTGCTACGCTATTCATAAGGCGAAAACGCGTCAAAATGATTTATTAGCCATTTTCACGGAATTTTTCAGAATCTGATGAGTCTCAGATTTCTCTCGTGAGGTCCCAGACATTAGCATTGCAGAAGAGGCAAACTGTTCATTCTATGAAATAAAAGAAAAGTGATAATATTTCAAGAGCCTCCTTGATACATTCACGGGTCTTGCATGAATGGAAGCCATTCAGGCACGTCCCCGGCGTTGAAGATTTTTTAGCAAAATACAAACTCCCCTCAAATTTTTCCGCCCTGCCCCAGCTTAGGGCCACTGGCCATCTCACATTCCTTTACTGCCTAAACATCTTCTTTCCTAAACACCAAGACGCATTTCATTAAGTTTTTTTTTTCCACAAGTTCCTCCACTTTATCTTTAGAAAAAAGGCGTCGATCCGTCGAGGAGGGGGAGAGGGGCAAGGACGTGGGAGCTATGGGTACATAATAGAAAGCGAGGAAGTAAGAAACACCACATAGTTGAATGTCGTGCGTGAATGAAAGCGGTCGAGAGAGCTACACCATAATTACGCCCGAGGATTGCGCGGGCGAAGGATAAGGCCATCAACGTCACAAACAAAATAAGCCGAAAAAACATGAACTTTTTACGATGAAGACCCGTTTTCCACCCCCACCCGCCTCTCCCCCTGAGCTCATTCTCAGACTCGTCTCACAGCGAAGCGAGTTTCGGCGACCAATAAATGGGGGTAGGTGCATTCCCGCTCCCAAACAACTCATGAATTCAAGTAGAATGGTCATTTCCCGTGAGAGAAAGATCCGTTTCACATGGGGCGGCGAAAATGACAGTCAAACAGCACGGAGTTACCTGTGCGGGTAACTTGTAAGTATGCAACTGAACAAAAGCTTCAATTATGAGCTCACAAAAATCCATAGGCATATTGTAATCGGAATAAAGTCTAAACTGCTTCCACCTTTTTTTTTCTATGACGCAATTTTATTCTTCTGCTAATAGTCAGCACTTAGTCAGCACTCACTGACTAGGAGTTGTTCGGCTTGGAGGGAACATTCAGCAATTCCTTTAGTTCCTTTTGTCATTTCATGCTGAACAACAGGTCCCCCTAAGTGAACAGAATCCACAACGTGTCCTGTAAAAGCTTAGAGTACCATCAGTCCTCGCCTCCCAGCAGAATTGCGCCATTCGAAATGTAATCTAACTCGTGCTGAAAATTTCTCAAAAGGATAGGGGCAAATTTTTTTATTTTTTAGCGGAAATTAATCAGTCGGACACGCAATAGCGAGGACAGCTATGGACTAGTTTATGAATTTCAGAGGTGAAACTTATGACTTCCGGAGGAGTTTTCCCTTTTAGGTTCCCTTTATACTTCATTCTCCTTGAGTGTCTGGGATCTCTTTTGCGGGAATTTCTTTTTCAACTGATCGTTTCTAGAGCGATGCGAAGTCAGTAGTACCGGGTCCTCATTAATGTTTTGTCAATGATTTTATAGCCAGTTCCCGTGACAACTTTTCTTCGTTCTTGAACTTACCTTGTACCTCTAAAATGCTCTGCCTAGGGCAGAATTCGATCTTTTTCCTCCTTTCCTTCTCGTTTCTGGGCCGCTCATTTCCGCTGCAGAGTTTCGAGCTCGCTGCAAGAGCGTCTTAAGGTTAGCTAGTAGTTACTCATTCAAAGGCGTTAGGTATAGCTAACCTTTACTCTTAATTGAGAGTATACTTCGACTGGGATATCTTTCGCTCGGAGGGGTTTACTTACCATTCGTAGGGTTTTGTACGAGTAAATCTTCTTCAAAGGGCAGAACGCTAATCCTTCACTCAGAGAGACTAATCCTATTACCGTGGTTTAGTATTCTAAACCACCCAGTGCAATTGTCTGACTAATTATCATTCTCATTTCCGAACGGGGCCTATTGAGTATGCGTGGACGAAGGGAAGGGTTCAGCAAGGACAAAATGTGGGCGTTCTCATCTCATGGGGATTCCCAAAGCAGAAGCATTATAACCACGCAACACGCCGTGCGTTAAGGATTCATTAATGGGGGCCAAGCTGCATTGCTAAGAGAGATCTGCACACTGACGAGGAATGGGGAGGAGGGATTCTGGGTTACGATTTTGATAACCAATTTTCATCATTTTGGTGTACTACGTTCCTCCATCTAGCCGACGAAATCCTGGAAAATAGAGGAATATAGGAGAATATACAATTAGAGGTAGATGAACTTATGGTTAGGCTAAACACTTGAGACTGAAAGTGAGGAACGTTAGGCCGTGGCAGAGGCTTAGGCCTTAGGATATCCTTACTATGGCGTCCCAAGAGAGCGCTGAAGTGGCCAACACCACCCAAAGACAGGCAGAAATGCACGGTCAAGAAGATAGAAAAGAGAATGATCAGAGGATGTGAAAACTACAGCTTCCAGATAGCGTTTGACTGAACGTTATCTATTCGGACGTACTTAGGAAAAAGGAATTATTCT